GACGGCATCGTGGTGTCCAACGACACCTACCGTGACCTGCAGAGCGAGCGGCCCGAGTGGAAGAAGTTCATCGAGGAGCGCCTGCTGATGTACTCCTTTGTCAATGACAAGTAGGGCTCCTGCCTTGTTTTTAGCTTGTATTGTTTTATTTTTTGTACAGAAACTCTGTATGGAGTGTTAGTAAGCTCATCACGTGTTGGTCAGATCTTGTGTTTGCAAGGTTCCCAGATGAAGGAAGGAGCGATGTATCTGACTCCATGTTCTTAGTGGGCTTTGTGTTTAACTGAAGCATATTTAGCCAGAACTTTTTTTTATATATTCTAATATAATTTTTAATTTCTTTTATATTTTTAATATAATATTTTAGTCCTACTTAGCCAGATTTTTTTTCAATTTTTCACATTGAGGGGAGCTTGCAGAGTGCTGAGATTTGAATGACTCAGAACAGTGATGAGCAGGGCTGAATATAGTCTGGGTTGTGGAGAGACAGAATAAATGGTTTTGTTTATTTATAATGTCTTGTATTTTTGGGGTTCCGTAATGAAAGGGAGGAATGATGAATCTGACTTCATGTTCTTAGAAGGCTAATTTATTATTTTATGATCTATATTATGTTAAAGAGTACTATACTAAACTATATTAAAGAATACAGAAAGGATACTGACAGGAGGCTAAAAGATACTCATGAAAACTTGTGACTCTTTCTCCATAGTCCAGCACAGTTTGGCTGTAATTGGCCATTAAGTCAAAACAATTCACATGAAACCAATGAAACAATCTCCAACTACCTTTCAAAGTAGCAAAACACAGGAGAAGCAAATGAGATAAGAATAGTTTTTCTTTTTCTCTGAGGCTTCTCAGCTTCCCAGGAGAGAAATCCTGGGCAAGGGGATTTTTCCAGAAAATATGATGGTGACAGTCAGACAATCCAATCCTTCTGGGCCTGAGAACCAAGGGCACCCTCTGCCTCAGGCCCTGAAATGTATCAACAAAATTGAATTGGAGAGAGAGGAGCAAATTGGGGAATATGACTTCATTACCTGAAGCTGTAATTGGACAATTAACCCCTGATGTGCAAATAGACCAAACTTAATCTAAAAAACTCAGGACCATGGTCCATCTTGGGGTGTAGCCTGTTGTGAGGCTTTTGCACTGCCCAAAGTATACTTGTTGAAGGTCTTTAATAAATCCCCACTTTATTCTTCTAACTCTGGCTAGCCTCTGTTTTAGGTAGACACTCCAGAGCATCATGATCGCATTTTCCTGGCCTTTTAAGAAAGATTTGTGTGAGCACACTGGCTTCTTCTAATGAAGCAATAGTAAGTGCTGCATGAGAAGAGCAAAATGCTAAAGAAGAAATAATCAAAAGAAATAATGAAAGCTTTTCAATATTTCTTCACTAGCATTTTGCTCTTCTACAAAGCATCATTTCAGCAGCTACTGAGATGCCACCAGCTCCTTTGGCTTCTACAAAGCCTAAAGAAGTTGGGGCATCTCAGTAGCTGCTCCTAATTTGGAGCTAAGAGTTCCAGGCTGTGATTTCCTCACAGGACAATTGTTAGCAGCAGGTAGTAATTCTGGTTGACAATCAGGCATTGAGCCTCCTCTGTGCCTGAAGGGAAGCATTTTGTGCTGGTGTGGACTGGGTGGCAGGAGGATTATCTCTGCAGGAAATGGGAGAGCTTTGTAGGGCTCAGAGAGCTTTTGATCTTCAGTGATATGGGAGGCTTTGAGAGGAAACCCAACCTCAACTCAAAAAAAGTAAACTGCTTCTGACTGAAATTTGGTTTTCTTTAGGTTTATGCCTCCAGATGATCCCTTAGGTCGTCATGGCCCCAGCCTGGATAACTTCCTCAGGAAGAAACCTGTAGTTCCAGAACACAAGAAACAGCAGTGCCCTTATGGTAAGATCTGCCTTATTAATAAAAAGAACAAGGTGCCTGTGCAAGTGTCACTCATAATCTAGTCAAATCCAGCTGGTCATTTCATGCTCTGGCTTTCCTTACAGGGAAAAAATGCACTTATGGAATTAAGTGTAAGTTCTACCACCCTGAAAGGATCAACCAGCCGCAGCGCTCGTTGGCTGATGAGCTCCGTGCCAACGCAAGGCTGTCCCCAACCAGAAGTACCAGTGCCAAGGAGGAGAAGAAGGGGAAGCGGGGTTCCCAGGCAGAGCTCTTGTGCTCTGTGCCCACAGAGAGTGACAAAAGCTCTGTACAGAAGGTGTCTGCAGAGAGGAAGAGCTTGGCCCACAAAGCCAAGCCCAGTGACGTTGTGCTTCAGGCCAAAGGCTGCGTGTCAGGCACTGTCTCCCCTGACAGGTACCAGCAACCTCCCATGGATTCTCTGTCTTACATCTCTCAGGAGCATCTCGACTCAGGCATTGGCTCTCTGGAGAACCAGCTGTCTGACATGTGGCCTCACAGATGTACCAGTCACTGTGACCATTCCCACGGGGAGCAGGTGCCCGTGTGCACCTGTGGCAGGCAGAGACCCATCTACCCCCATTCCCCCAGCCTGGAGCAGAACGGGCTGCTCTCTTACAACCACAGCTCCCACAAATCCTCTTCCTCTGGTGCTAGCTTCTTGCAGTACAGCCCTGAGATGCCTCGCTCGGGGGCACCCCACTCTTTCTCAGGCTTTGGGGTGCCCGTGGGTGCAGCAGGGCAGTACAGCCTGCCCAGTGAGTTCGGCGCTCCCATGCCGCGCTCACGGGAGTTCTGGTCCGAGCCCTACCCCCTGCCCCAGGTGAGATCCCCCGGTGTGCCCGGCCCACACCCCATGCACGGGGCTCCAGGGCCGCCCTACGGGGACTCAGGGCCCTGGGCTGACCCGGAGAAGTTTGCTGAGGAGAGGGCCAGCGTGCACGTCAAGCTGTGCGGCATCTTCCACCCGCACCTGGTGAACGCTGTCATGAGCCGCTTCCCCCGGCTGCTGGACCCCCAGAGGCTGGCAGCTGAGATCCTCATCTACAAGGCCCAGAACCCAGGGGTATGAGGCAGGTGCTGAGGGCAGGCAGGTGTGGGGAAAGCTGGAGGGGCTGGGATTGCCTCTGCAGCTGCCACAGGTGCCTTCGAGTGCTCCTTATTCCTTTGGAAGTACTGGGCTCCAGCTGGAGGCTGGGTGCCAGAGCAAATTGTGCTCACAGCAAATTCTGCTCCAGCTATGACCACGTGCCTGTGGGAGAGGTGAGAACATTCCATCATCCCACCTTCCCCAGGGGCTAAGCAGGAAGGGAGGCTGCAGCTCTGGAGCAGGGCTGTTCCTTTGGGGTTCATGGGAGTCTGGCACACCCTGAGCTCCTGTAGTTGTCCATAACTGGATGTGAGAGAAGTGGGTGCTGCCTTTGTAGTGGCCTAAGGCTGGTTTCTGAGGACCCAAATGCTATTTCAATGCTGTTGTTAGGTCCTGACTAAGCCTCTTTACTAAATCCCACCATTTAGATCTGTGGCAAATATTGGATTATAAATGTCATCTGGAGCTGGATTTTTCTGACTGGCTTTACTGGTGCACTTCTTGAATGATGTTTTCCACACCCCTCCCACCTCAGCTGACTTTGCTGAGGTAGTTGTGCCCCATGGACCACAAGTGCTGGGTGAGCTCTGAGCTCCCAGGAGCGCAGTCCTGGCTCTGAGGAGTGGCTGCACCCTGCTCCAGAGCTGGGTGTGAGTTGTGTGTTGGGGATGTGCTGACAGCTGCAGTGTCAGAGCAGGTGGGTGAGCTGAGCATGCTGTGAGTGCTGCTCTGGAACTGTCTCTGTCCCAGGCTGGCTCTGTGCAGCACTGACAAGGATTTATTATGTGCCTTTTGCTTTCAGACAGCAATAGAACAGCTGCAGTCACATCTGGACTGCTGCCAGGGGCCTTCCCAAGGAGTCTTTAATATTTTGTGTTGTAAAGCTGTTGCTTTCTCTTCCTCACCAATATTCCCCTGTACCCTTTGGCTGTGCCCAACTAGAGCAGCATCCAGAATTGTAGAATAAGAATTATTTGGCAAGACTGTTTTTGTTTAATTTCCTCTTACTCTGTAAGATGTTTTCTATTGTAGGTACTGTAAGAGATTTTAAATATGCAAAACCAATTGCTGTAGTAATTGTTTCTGGTCCTGGAATTGTGCTGTGCCAAGGGATGCAGAAATGTTCCTGGCACTCGCAGGCCAGAAGCAGTTGATTTGTTGATACACATTGTATCTGTGTGTGTTGTTGTTTTCTAAATACAATACGCCCTTCTGTGGTTAAACCAAGGTTATTGAGTGGCAAATTAGGAAGGGGAGAGTGGAAGGCAGCTGGTCCTGAAACCCTCCTGGGAGCAGAGTTGTCTGTTCTGCTCTTCCCTCTGCTGTCCAAGGAATGACCTGCCCAGACTGGCACCATGTGCCATGAGACCACAGGGACACAGAAACCTGTATACCTGGTTAATAATGATACATTACAAATTAGTAATGTTTCATGTTAGTAAGCAAAATGCTTCTTAATTTTAAAGTAACCTGATACTTTGCATATTTGTAAATTACAGATAAAATGGTTTTTAATGTTACTGTTCAGCACCTTGCTGCTTGCAGTTTTTAATCAATGCTGTCTTCACCTCAGCCATGTGTTACTTGGCAAGGTGGGTTTGGGTTTCTGGTGGAATGCTGGTATCTGCTGCCTCTCTTGCAATGAGAAGATTTAACATTTTGTACTCCTCAGCTGACACTTGCTGAACTTTCTGTATCACTATGCAGTATAGCCATGTACTGAATAGCCATGTGACAGCCCTGGCAAAGAAAAACTGTGTTATATAAATAAAAACTGCTGAGTTGACATATTTGGTCTCTGGTGGCTTTGTGGAGGAACATTCAACATTCAGGGAAGCCAGAGAAATGATCCTTCCTCCCCGGGGCTCCTCTGACTGGCTTTGATCTCTGTGTGCAGCCTGAGGCTGTTATTGACAGGCTGGCAATCGATGCAGTGACACCAAAACATCCATGTGCTGCGGCAGATAAGGGCATGAGCAGTGTCTGCTGCTGATTTGGGCTTGCTCAGTGCCCAGGGCAGGTGCCATGGGCAGCAGCACTGGCTCTCAGCACCACAGTGTGGGTGCCCTGGGTGCTAAAGCAGCATTTATTGCCATTTAAAGCAGCAGAATTGCCAGACTCCTGGCAATTTTGGAATCAGCATGGACTGTGTTTGGCTTTAAGGAGCAATTCCACAGTACAGCCAGGAAATAAATACATATTTTATCCAGTTACAGTACATCTGTGTCAGATATTGAGTGTGGAATGCCTGAATGGTAACATGTCCAGGTTTTGCTCTGAAGATTTGTTATGGACTGAAGTGCAGCAGGAATATCAGTGCTCACCTTGTGGAGTAAAGCTCTTCCCCTGCCACCTGCTCCACTGCAGCACAGCACGCTCTTATCTCACTGGTTAAATAACTTTATGGTCTGTATTGAAACTTGTGCTCTTCATTTACCACAGGGCAGTGACTCTGTAGTTAATGAGAAACCAGGCAGGCAGGTGCATTTCAAGGGACCAGCTGCATTTCAAAACAAACCTGCAGCTCTCACTCTGAAGTCTTTATTGACTGTGGGAGAGGAAGCCTCTGGGGCTGTCACTGCAGTGACACAGCTCATGTGGGGATGGAGAGGTGTGTCAGGGATCTGAGCACACCTTTAGCCAGTTGAGGAGTTTGCTGCTGTCCTTAGTGGGATTTGTAGTTGAAAAATGCTGCAGGATTTTAAGGCTGGTGTTCCTGTAAAAGACAATGGTAATTTGAGTTTTACAGGATGTGTAAAAGGGTAAATGTAGAGGGGTTTGGGTTTGTGTCTCAAAGCTGCACTGAGAGACAATTAAAGGAATCAGTGTGTCGCAGACATCTTTTCATGAAAAACCATTTCCTTAGGATTTTCCCTCTTGAGAAGCTGAGAGACCTCAAGAACAAAACGTAAACATTGATTATCTGCTGTTGTGGAATGCAACAGGCGCATCTGTGATTGGCCCATCTTGGATGTTTATAATTCATGGCAAATTAATGCCCAGCTGGCTCGGAGAGAGAGTCCGAGACAGCTGCCTTTGTTATCATTCCTTTCTATTCTATTCTTAGGATTTCATCAGAAGGCTAGCTTTCTTCTATTCTTTTAGTGTAGTTTTAATGTAATATATATCATAAAATAATAAATCAAGCCTTCTGTAGCATAGAGTCAGATCTCAGTCTCTTCCCTCATCCAAAAACACCTGTGAACACGGTCACATCAGTGCAGGGGTTCATTACCACAGCCAGGAGAGGAAGAGCTGGAGCTGACTGACTTTTGTTGTGATGTTTTGCTGCAGTGACAGTCGTGGGGACACACAGTGGTTTGGGAGGGTCAGGCCCTAGCACAGATCTGGATTTCTCCCCCAGACTGCTGTGTGTGCTGCTGGGGCAGCCACAACCCCACTGCTGTACTCTGAGTTTCCTCCTCATTCACACAAAGTTCTGTGTCCCGTTCCCCAAGCTCACTGTGGTGCCAGAGATCTGGGACATGGGAATGCTGACTGGAACTGTTGCTGCTGCACATTTTTTCCCCTACACACTCCTCAGTGCCAGGGGTGGTGGGGCTGCCTGCCTGCACAGCTTGGAGCCCTGCTGGGGCTGTTTAGGTGAGGTTTTTGAGGTGCATCCTCCGGTTTAGCACTTCCTGGGGCTGGGGGGAAGAGCCTGCTGTGATGCCGGGTGTTTGCTTTTGGGTGTTTTGCCAAACTGGGTCAGATCTGTGTCAGCTCTCTGGGCTGTTAGAGGGAAGGCGGTCACACACGGGCCTGCTGAAGGTTTCCTGTGCTCAGGGGCTTCCCAGCCCTCATCCTGTCAGCTGTGTGCCGCTGCAACCTCGTGCTGAGCTTCAGGAGGGGCTGCTTCCTCCAGGCAGGCCAGTCTGCTCTCCAGGGCTTGCTTGTCACAGACATCTTTTATGAAAAATCCTTTCCTTAGGAGTTTTCCTCCTGAGAAGCTGAGACACCTCAGGAACAAAATGTAAACATTGATTGTCTGCTGCTGTGGAATGCAACAGGTGCATTTGTGATTGGTCTCATGTGGTTGTTTCTAATTAATGGCCAATCACCATGAGCTGGCTCAGACCCTCTGGTCAGTCACAAGATTTTATTATCATTCCTTTCTATTCCTTGCTAGCCTTCTGATGAAATCCTTTCTTNGGCCCCGAGGAGAAGGAGAGCGACAACCTGAAGCCCATCGTCATCGATGGCAGCAACGTGGCCATGAGGTGCGTCCGGGCTGGGCGCGGGGCTGTCGGGTGTGAGTTCTGCCAGGGCTCGGAGGTGAAAAGCTGTGAGTGCCACGCTCAAAGCAGCCGCTTCTGGGTGCTGGGAACGGGGCTGGTAATATTTTCCAAAGTTCCTCTCCGACACACGAGGACGAGCATCACGTTTGCGTTTGCGGGCCCGGCTTGCCTGTTCTGCCTTGCCCAGAGCCGCCAGTCACGGGGCAGTGGTGAGGGCAGCAGTGCTTCCTCTGAAACCAACACTTCCTCCTGGGCTCTGGCGATGAAGGGATAACTGAAGAGACGTTGTCCTCTCAGCTAGTGGCTTTGTGTAAGTTTCCGTAGCAGGAAGTTGCTCAATAAATAATTACAGGCTTAATTAGAGAAGGGTTTGTAATATGGAGCTCCGTTGGAGGCTTGTCTCCGAATTGTGCCTCTTGTATATTGGTGAAATTCTGTACGAGGTAAAGCGCGATGAGATGTCAGAGGTGTCACCAAGGCAGGGCTGTGACTCATCCTCGCCGTTTCACGTGTCCCAGTGTTACTGGAGCAGGTTCTCATGGACGCTCACCAGAGCCCCCAGTATCCATGAAACATTCAGAATCCCAGGGCTGGATATTGATTGGTGTGATGTTCCCACTTTCACCCTGGATTTTGCTCCCACTTTGGTGGACATTGCTTGCCCTCACCCCACCCCAGCAATGCGTTCCCCACCTCTGCATAGCACACTCTTGAAATTTAACACACCAGCTTCTGAACTGGGTCCTGAAAGCTTTTTTCTGTTGCAGCTCAGAGGCAGCCTCCTTTGTTGTTTATGTTTGTGTATGCAGATTTTATAAAAAATAACCCTGGGTGCGGGTGGAGCTGCCGTGTCAGTTGCAGTAGGTTTGTCTGAGGTGAAAGTGCTGCGTGGAGGTTTGTTTGCAGGTGTGGTTTTTGCCAAGCCCTGGCTGACAGTTCTGAGAACAGAACAGAAAAGATGGGGCACAGGTGAGCCCCAGGGCGGATGAGGAATGGTGGTGGCAGTGGAACAGGGCAGGAGAGTGAAAGCCATGCCTGGCACTCCTGAAGAGAACCTGCTCCAGTTCCTACCTTCTCTACAGCTCTAGGAACACTGTGGAAAACGACCTATTGTGAGCCCAGGCTGATAAGTGACTCTGGCAACAAAGTTTACCTTGGATAAGTGCTTGGGCTTTAACAGCAGGATTGGCCGTGTTAGTGAGGAGCCTCTTAGTGGTGAAAGTTACCCCAAACTGCAGAGGGGAAATCACAGCAGCTGTGAGTCAGGGCAGGCCGGAGCCCAGGGTCTGACATGAGAGAAGCAGTCTGGCTTTTTTAAGCAATTCTCTAGAAGGGGAATTCCATTCTGAAACTTCCTGTATTGATGGTGTGATGTTCCCTGCTGATTCATTTGCAGTATGTACAGCGGCCTCCTTCAACAGCTCTTGACAAACTTATGCAAATCATAGTGGAAATTAGCTTTTACTTCCTTCTAAGGGAATTTTTCCTTGGCTGCTGCCAAATCAGATCAGCCCAATTAGCTGCCTTCTGGAGGTTTGAGGTTGGTAGCAGAGACTCAAAAAATAAAAACAACCAACAACCCAAAACAAAGACAAAAGAAAATCCAACAAAAAGGATTTGTTTTTCACACTTATCTCTAAAAAATTGTAGTAGTCTATGCCTGGCTATAGCTAAATCCATCTGATATTGGAGAGAACTTTTAGAGCATCTTCTGGTGGTGATTTTCAGCCTTTTGTAATTTAGGATTCTTATTTGAAGGTGTGTTAGGTGTCTCTTTAGGTGTTAGTTCTGTTGCCAAGTGTTTAGTTCTTCTAGAATAAGTACTTTTGTACAGCTCTTCAACTTCCTTTGTAGTTTCAAAGAAAGGGTGAGGCTGGGAGGGGAACTGAAACTTCTCTGTAGTGGTGCTGCAACAGTGCCACTGCAGGAACGGGGCTGATGGGGGCTGAAATGCCTTTCAGGTGTAGATGGAGGGAGGAAGATTTGGGACAGGTAATGCCCAGGTGAGGAAAACCTTCCTGGATTGTGAGAGCAGCTCCCCTTTTGGTGTAGTGCATTGTCACAGAACATGGATCCCCACAGTGACATATCAGGCTGCAATAGAAGTGTTGGAAGTTTGTCAAAACCGCTATCAGCAGAAGAGCTGATTGCACTGTAAATACTACTGCTTGTAAAACAGGAGGGGTAGTTTCCTCCTAGAAGTTCTGGAAACTTATTGATATGACTTCATGAATAATTAAGAAGCTTTTTGCATCAGTACATGGCTTCTGACAAGGTTGTCAAACTTTGTTCTCTGGCTGCCATGAGCAGCACTGATGACAGGAGATGATGCCATTTTGTGCAAATAGTGCATTTGTAGATGAGGTTTGGAGCCATCATGGAATGAATCATCTTTCCTTGAGATGAGAGTGCATATAAAATACCTTGTTTTGCTGAAGTGATCAGAACAACTTTGCAAGCAAAGGCCCAGTGAGGGTACAGTGGCAGGAAACAGTCACTGGCATTGGCTGTCAGAGTAGCACAAAGGGCTTTTAGGTCACATTGTGCTCT